CAACTGATGCCCGATCATGCAGACATTTATAAGAGATGTGAACACTCAACACTGAATGACACCACTGAACATAAACTTCAGTAACATTCACAAATAAATACAGCTGATTAAATGAGGTCGTAGTAGATAATTTTTCATATAATTCTAGTTATAATTCTCAAACACAAATTACCGCTGGTGAGAAAAATACAAAATATAAGAATGTTAGATAGTAAATTAAGGACTTTATACTCTAGATATATGTGATACTTATGTTCATGTTAATAGTAATATATTAGCTTAAAGTTAAATAAGTATATATTCTATCTAAAAGTTACACCTATCCTGAAAAAAAGCTTTCATAGAGCTGTCACCCAAACAAAAAGACTAACTTAACGTGGCATCGTCTTCGTCAGATAGGGATTCTGAGAAATAGTAGAAATTATATCACCCAACATTTAAGCAAACCGAATGAGATCAATGAATATTTTTCAAATTTACAAGTATTAAACAGAACTCAATACCAACTAAGTTTACTTAAAAAGTATCATAATCACGACGACACTGGACCGAAAAAGATTGTTTTTAAAACAGTAAGTCCCTCAGATATATCCAAATACATCTAGCGAATCAAAACAAAAGCAGTTGATCACTGTACCACATCTAGGAGGATGTTGCTATTACTTGAGGATCATCTTCTGGATCACCTTATTTTTTTTATTAACAGTTGCCTCGTATCCAATATGTTTCCAGATATGTAGAAAATTTCAAAAGTGTTACCTATACCCCAAATATCAAATGTAAATCAAATATCAAGCCTCAGACCTATAAGTATATTACCAATCTTTTCCAATATTTTAGAGAAAATTATAGAGCAAAAAATATGGAAAATAAATGCGGATTTCGGAATTCTTGTGACACAGCAAGAGCGCTCGGTTGTATGATCGATTACTTTGTTAGTTCACTAGATTGCGGTAAAGCCGTTTGTTTAATATTACTAAATTACAGTAAGGCTTTTGATACAATTGACCACAGAATTGTGTGCCAAGCTTATGTGACATTAGAAGTGTTACCCCAGAAAAAATAATTTCTTCAACTTGTTTTTTTGGCAACATAGTGACTACATTTGAATCATGCTGTAACAACAATGTCAACGTTTTATTTTTGTCATTGCTGACCTTTTTTAAAATTCTATCAGCAGTTTTTGAGAGCTGAGTAGTACAGATATTTTTAGTTATTGACCTTTCATTTACTAATGTTTAGCATAACAAAATGTCTCGAGTTTGAAGACGTCCAAATTGTCACCAAGTTAGAGACTTTGACAGGGGGAGAATTATTGCCCAGGGGGTATTCACTCTTATGGGACGAATTGGAACAGTGTTTTTAGTTGGTGATCAATCCGTTGGATGCCGCTGGTATCGCTGTTGTCGTTTGTCGGAATTGGAAGCTGATATTTGACAGCTGTCACTGCTTCCTTTCTTCCTTGTGTTTGGTGGTTTCGACCGTTAAATACTTTTATTTTTTGTTTATGTGTGGTTAAATTTGAGTGATTACAGCGCTTGTTTATAATCTAGTCCATTTGAAAAAAATTTTGAGCCAATCGTTACAATTCTTTAAATCTTCCAAAATAGGCTCCTTCTGTGTCGATGTAGCGCTGCCAGCGCGATTTACAAGCATTGAAGGCGTTACGGAAGGCATTCTCCGGAATAGCCTTGAGAGCCTCGGTGCATGCAGCTTGGATCCCGTCTGTCGTCTCAAAGTGCTTGCCTTTCATCGGCCTTTTCAGACGAAGAAACAAAAAAAAGTCCGGGGGGCCACATCTGGGCTGTAGGGCGGCTGCGGAAGCGTTGGGATGCCGGCCTTGGTCAGGTAGCTGTTCACAAGAAAGGCGGTGTGAGCCGAGGCGTTGTTGTGGTGTAACTTCCAGTCGGCTGCGATGTCTTGACGGACCCGACTGACCCTTCGTTTGAGTCTCCTGAGCACTTCCACGTAAAACATGTTAAATTTTTCTTGGCACACTTCCACTCGCCGCAATTTCTGGTCGTCAGTGAGCACTTTTGGGACCATCTTCGCGCACACCTTGCGCATGTTCAAATGCTGTGTCATAATGTCATGAACCACAGATTTTGGTAAATTTAACATCTGGGCAATTGAACGAATACTTAGTCGACGGTCTGAGTTCAAAACTTTGCGCACATGAGTCACATTATCGGTGTTTGTCGAAGTCGGAGGTCTTCCAGCACAGTATTCATCAGCGACCTCTTCGAGGCCCTCCAAAAAGGCCTGGTGCCACCGAAACACACCACTTCTTGCTAAAGCAACGCCTGGGTAAGCCTGCTTGATCATATCAAACGTCTCTATCGCAGATTTACCGAGTTTCACACAGAATTTAATCGCGTACCTCTGCTCTAACGAACGCTACATTTTCGGCTTGCACCACTCACAGAAACACGCCGCGCGAAAATGCCTGTCCTGACTCTCCAAGTGCTCGGAGACAACTGAGCAGCCGTTCAATCGTTAGCTAGGAACTCCCTCTACCGAATCCAGTCGGTGCGTGCACGCGCCGAAGTACAGTCATGGCGGAAGAAAATGAGTCCTACTACTTTCCGGACAAACCCTGTATGATGGGGAGGAGACTATCCAGATATCGATCAACTTATTTTGTCGATGCCTAGACATATTACATTCCTGATGTAAAACAACGGGATTACGTCAAAATCAAGTATAAGGAATTATTTTTTGTGGGTGTAACACTTCTAATGTCACTGAGTATATTAAACAGTAAACTGAAAATGCTATTGTGTGATGTTCTTATAATTTACTGTGAAATTGTACGAGCATATGGCCCGTCTATAATAACAAGTGATGAAGACAACTTACAACGGCTACAAGGCTCTTGTTTGTTTTCCTCAAGGTATACGGAAATTTGATCATACAAACCATGTGTACAAAGAGAATTGTAAAATGAACATGGAAAATCTCAGAAAATATCAAAGTTTATGTTTGGTCTATAACATTTTAGTGGATAGGAAATCAGCATATCTTTTACATAAACTCAACAAATTTGAAAATGTCAATATTCTGGCACCAGTAATCGACAAATATTAGTTATACCTAAGCACTTTACGTCTCTCTACAAAAAGAGCTTCTCTTATACTACTGCCAACTTATACAATAATTTTTATATGAATTTCGAAATTATTCTCTGAATAATCTTAAAAAGAAGCTGAAGTCGTGGTTACTAATCTCCCTCACTCTGCCACACAATCTACCTTGATAGTTTTGAAATAAATTGGCCGCATACGATATCTACCTAGTTTTAGAAAAACGTATAAAGCTATAGTAATAGATCGCTAATCACTTTATTATTCATTTTTGAGCCGTTAAAAAGGTCACTTTCACATTAGGAGTTGAAAAATACCATCATGGTAACACACCACCGATTCGTCAAGCGGAATCGTACAGCAACCCTCTGTTGCGCGACTCAGTGGACTACACAGTAGAGTAAGTTCGTAAACATGCAAGGCCTCGGCTCGCACTGTAATAAAAAATTAGCGGGAACTTCTAGTAAACTTAAGATTACACTCTGACAAAACCGAATCAAAACGTGTTTAGCTCACCTCAAAATTAATGCGTGTACCAAGTCAAAAAGCCTAGGTGTTTGTTCTTAAAGTAAACACTCATGTTTTTCTTTGCTGTTCTCCTTTATTCTTCTCTTTCCCTTTCTCTTTTTCCTTGCGATTGTTTGGTTTCTGGGAAACCAGGACTAAGAGATTCGACTAACGTACATTAAACAGTGACTAATGGGTAAAGGTCCTACGGTTTTGGGTATCTCTTGAGTAATGGCATGATTCTTGGTCTGACCAAAACATGACATGGTCATTAGTATGATGGTCGTGGACAAACTGAAAGAATTTGGAAAGGAAGTTATCAATATAGCTTCGACTATTCAAAGCTTCACCTCTCACTCTTCCCACAAAATTTACGCTACACCCCTGATAGGTATTGCGCACCAGACAAGGATCTTATCGGCAAATTTCGCTTTATGTTTGTATCTGACATTATCAGGAAATTCCTCTACGTTGTCGGTATATAAAATCCATCGTTTCACTTTATTTCAGAATTACTCAAAGTGAAATACTTTTCGTCATCTAAGATAATTATTTTTCAATTGTCAAAATGTACCCGCCTCAGTTAACGACAGCATCTTGGTATACGAAGGAGCTGCGCTTGAGAGTATTTGGGGCACTTAAGTGTCTTTCAATATTTAAGGCCATTCCTGCTGAATTCCAACGATATCGTGCTCTTAGAAGATCTGTATAGACGAGTCAGTCGCCATTTTGACATTAAAACCTAATTTTTAGCTCTTAGCAGTAAATGCCCGTGGTCTTCCACATTTTGGGAGATTTAGGCATGGTATCACTTGCTCCCACTCCGCTATTGTTCCATAAATTGTTCTGCGTGAAATGTTTTCATTCTGGAATATTCGACAGATTCCAGCTTTGGGTACCCGCCCAACCAACTTATAGATACTTTGTCTTGTTTCTAATTTATACCACGTTTTAAAGCGAAAAAATATATAAATGTCAACTGACAGTAAAGTAAGTGAGCAAACTGTTGTTTCCAAAAGCAATTTGATATTATTTTGTGTTTGCTAAAATTAAAACCAATGAATTTTGTGCGGTAACCTTTAGGACATACGTTACTATATGAAATAATCGAATAAAGACAACTTATTGTTGTATCTTCTCACATTTTCGATGCAGATAAAATGCTAAATCAACTATACATTAGTTGACTTTGGGCGACTTTTAGATTTCAATGCAACACAACGTATCTGGTCTATTCTTCTCTTGGCACATTTGCACCTAGCAAAGTCATCCACTGTTTTCATTATTATCTATTGCAGTTAATCAGCTATATTTGTTTGTGAAAATCATTTTCCCATCTATTATGAAGCATAAACAATACCTACGCCAGTACTCACCCTGCGACTGTCAGTGATTTGTGGGAAAACAAAGTCAGTCGCAGTCAGCAACACCTTGTAAGGTCCTCTGGTTACCCTTTTCTTCAGCAACTGGTTCCTTGCCAAAGCAGCCGCACCGAGGATGCCCACCACAAACAAGCAGGAGCAACCAAGGATAAGCAGCACGCTTAGTATCTGGAAGAAGAGGAAGAAATGTTTCTTATGATATTTCATGAGATGTTTCAGTTTGCAATTGAAAAGCCAATACATGTGCGAGGGATTTTCCCAAAAACGAAAGTTTTTTATTCAGACGCATACCCTTTAATTTTGATTGAACAAGGTCGAGTGGCGTTGGGACATATCAAAACTTGCATATTAGGGGCGCGTTAGCTAAAGTATTGCAGTGCTCGTTTGTTCTCTTACACTGTTTTCGTTCAGTCTTTAGAGACCGATATTAAACTTTTGATACTGAGCTATTTTTTTAATTATTCGTTTTTTTGCGGAATGCATGTTTTCGTTAGTATACAAGTTATAAATGCGAGTCATGTAGCTACAAGGTCGTCTCAACTTGTAGAGACAAAAAATGGATCAGAACGGTATCAGTCTCCAGAGACCTACACCGCACAGACATATTACAATAATTAGTGGAAGAGGGTATAGGTCTCCGGAGATCCACATATGCTCATACGGACAAACGTGTCATTTGTGTACCGAATTCGAGCGCGTGAAGTTGAGCTTTCTGTTCATTTGTCAAACATGTTTTCTTCCCGCGTTAAAAAAAAATATGGAAATAACAAAAAAACATACAAAACACTGGAACAGTGCTCACAAATGTTGATGCACAAACAAAATTGAAATTGTTGAAGCAGAGTCATCATACGATGGAGAACAAACAAATAATCCTGGAACAAGTTATGTTATAAGTTATCCATCTTCATCAGATTATGATAAAAACCCACATAATGCATTTGATGCTACAATCGAAGGTATATATTTTAAACACAATGCTTGTTTCTGTTAACATTTTATGTCTTTTATTTTTCATCCAGGCAGTACCACCGAGGCCGATGATTCTGATTCGGATACATCTGATGATAGTGGAGGTAATGTCACCGCAGAGGATCGAAATGGAAAGATGCCATTCTTTGGGCTGCATAGTAATAGTTGGCAAGACATTTTTCGAGAACAGTTACCTTTTAACGTCTGAAATGAGCTGAATTTTGACGTAAGTCAGATTTCGAGTCCACTGGATGCTTATAAACTTTTTGTGACAGAAGACCTTTGACATGTCATTGTTGAAGAGGCAAATAGATTCGCCTAAAAAAGTTTAACAGGACGTAGAAATTCAAAATCCAGATTCATGTTTGGGTGGACACAGATAAAAACGAGTTCATGCGTTTTTTCTCAATTATTCTCGCTTCCGTCAGTTAATTCCTACTGGTCAAAAGATCCTATGTTCAGAAATGAGTTTATAGCAAAGATAATGAGCCGTATTCATAAAGCAAAGGATATCCTTGTACTTGCAAATTTTGAAGCAAATCCTCCAGATGGTATTTATAATAATTTTAACTAAATGCTTTTGCTTCTTGAGTATAATCATATCCTTCAAAGCAGTGACACAAGTAAAAGGATATTCATAATCTTCACCTTATACTTGGCATAGGAAGCATATCCTTCAAAAACTCCGAGTGCGGTCAGTAGCAGACTCAACTTCGTAACGAAAGGTGGTCAAACGATGATGGCGGAAATTGTGGATGTTAGGGATGTTAAAATGTACAAACCTCGTTTACCTTCACTTCACTTTCCAATTATATCGGTTCGACGAAGCAAATGTACAATGGCTTCCGGACAGATTTTTAGTTGAGAATGAGGAAACTCGAGGAGGAGCACTTTCATGTATTCATAAAATGAAGATATGTCTACGCTATCTCGGTGACCCTGCATATCAACAAGGTATTGGTCATGAACTTGGTGTTAGTCAAGCAACGGTATCCCGGACTGTGGATAGAGTTGTGAACAGCATAGGTGCACAGTCGAACGAATGGATCAAGTTTCCAACTACCAACCATGAACTGATGGAGGCCAAGCGGATATGGCAAGGCATGTATAAATTTCTGACAGCAATTGGTGTAATTTATTGTACACATATAGGAATCCTTAAACCAAATCGCCATGGAGATGAGTATATCAACCGAAAGGGGAAACCTACTTTAAATGTTCAAGCCACTTGTTCTAGCACTATGCCGTCACTTGAGAGCGGTACATGTAAGTACAGTGAAAAATTTAATTTTCTGCCCAGAAGGGGTCGGAAAAGACTAAATGATTTTTTACGGCTTTCTTTAGTATCACAGATGCCAAAAAAAATAATCACGATGCACTTAGTGCCGTACGGAAATAATGGTGCCGGAAGCCATAAAAAAAATTAATTTTCAGGTCATTTTCTATGCGGATAAATTAATTAATTAACATACGGCATTGTTACAGTTACCTTTCTTTTTACGGGGTCACACGTTTACGGGTCAATTTTACCCCGACCCGCATCTAATCATTATTTTCGACAAGTCTATGCAGGATTTTTCTCTAATTAGAGCACAATACCTTACAGTAAATTTATTCAGTTGGCGAGCATACGCCATCGTGGGTGGCACTAATCGCAAAAATGTCCCGTGGAAAAAAACTTGTTGATCTTGCACAAGCTATGTCAAGGCAAAGTGAGTCGGAGTCGGAGTCCGAGTGTTCGTTTTATGAAGACTCAGATGACTCGCTGATGGACGAAGATTACATACCAAGTTCATCCGGTGATAGTTCATCCAGTGATGAAAATGAGTTCGAAGTCTCCCAAGATCTGCTCCCGTTAAGCCAAAATACCCAACTAGCAAAGAAGTCGTATAAGCTTTTGGTAAAAGAACCGTTCAGCCATAAAAGCTCTCTATTGTTGTTGCCTGAACACCAAAATGCTGGCTTAATGTTGTGTGGAATGCAAATTTGCTTTCTGCAACATATTTGCTCTAAAATGAGGTGTTTAAAATATTCTTGTAGCATAGTTATACAACACCTTATAGGGCAAAATTTTAACTGTTGCATAAACGATTATACAACTATTTTATACGGCATATTTGCAAGCTAGTCAAAGTGGTTGTGTTGTGGCACCCATGCTAACGTTTATAAAACAAACCCGAGCCTTGTTGCTTTGCTGTGCAATTTACTACATTAGCCTACAAATTGCTCCCAACGGAAGCACTTATACAACTGTTACATATGCTAAATATGTTGGTAAACAACTTCACCATAGCCTAAATTTCTGCTGCCATATTTTTGTTAAACTACGTAAGAGAATAGTTGTATAGTTGACAAAAACTGAATCTTGCACTGACGCAAATGTCCTATAGCGGCTGCAAGAGGCTTACACTTTTGTTTTATAACTGTTACCTGCAGCCCTTATACAACCTGTTAAATGACTGAAGTGTCCTATTAGGTGTGCCCATTCGGCTTGTATAGCTGCTCTAAGAGGGTTTTGCTAATGTTCTTACAGTATACAATGCTGTTTAAGGAATTCTGTATAATCATTCTTGCAACTGTAATAGGAGTGATAATTGTTATACCACAACTATTTAAAACTGTAATGACTCATACGGGTGATCAACACGTGATCAGAGCTCGATCCCGGCTTCCTTCCAGTAGAGCCGTATAGCGTAAGACATATGTCGTTTCTGTGGCTTTGCGGTGGTCAACAGCACATACAGAGATGGAAATAATGGCTGATTATTCTCCGCCGGTAGAACCAATGAAATCAAAGACGCGCCTCGACCGGCAGACTCATAGGCGTCGGCAACGCATTGGAACGTGTTTCGTTGAGCGATCGCATATTGTGTGTTTTTATAAGAATTGTTGTGTGATTGTTATTGTTGTGTTTTTTGTGGTTACTGTTTTGGTTATACTTAACCATGGAGAGTACAAATGGCACGAGTGGAAGTACTGAAAGCCAGGGAACAAGTAGACGGCTTCGTAAAGCACTGAAGAGGGACGAGAAAGAAATCGTGCTCAACGTGTTCAATTATCTGAACAGAACTATGTCGCAGGGAGATGCACTCGCGCATTGTGAAAGTATGACAGGCGTTCCAGAGTGGACCATTCGCAGGGTGGTGCATGAAAGGAAGAAAACTGGAGCTACTACTGATCCAAAGTTTAATTTGAAGGGACGATAGCAAAATGGCGTTGAGGCGAACCGTACATTCATTCTTCTTTAGGAATGAGATACCAACCCCCAAGGCTGTACATGCAGCGATCAAGGAAAATGGAATTATACCCCAAATGAGCGTCGCGGTAATGAGGAAATCCCTGCACGAAATTAATTTTCGTTACGAAACGCGTAATCGGAAGTCAGTATTGATAGAGAGACCTGTAATAGTCGCCTGGCGTCGAAAATACCTACGCGAAATGATTGAATATAGGCGACAAAGCAGAAAAATCTATTATTTGGACGAGACATGGGTAAATGCAGGTCACACAGTTAAAAAAACCTGGATAGACAAAAACGTAGTGAGTAACCGACAAGCAAGTATTGAAGGTTCACCTACAGGTCTTCGTGGACCGTCAGGGAAAGGTCAAAGATTGATCGTAACTCATATTGGTAGCGATAATGGCTTTTTAGAAGAGTGTGACTTGATTTTCGTCTCTAAGAAAGGAGGTGATTACCATGACGAAATGAATGCCAGCTGCTTCGAGAGCTGGTTTCAAGGGGTGCTTCAGCGAGTTGAGCCCAACTCTGTGATCGTCATGGATAATGCTTCCTACCATAGTCGTCGAGCCGAACGTGTACCGACTATGGGATCTCGAAAAAGTGACATGCAGCAATGGTTGCGCAAAAAAGGAATTCCGTTTCACGATTCATGTGTGAAAGCGGAATTGTATGAAAAAATTGAACAGCACAAACCTGCGAACATTAGTTACGTGACTGATGAGATGGCCCGTCAATGTGGAGTCACTGTGCTGCGGTTACCGCCCTACCACTGTGAACTGAACCCAATAGAGCTCATCTGGGCTCAAGTGAAGGGTTATATTGCGCGCCATAACACAACCTTCAAATTACCAGACGTTAAGGTTTTACTTGAGACTTCCATACAGCTAGTAACGCCCGAAGCTTGGCAGAATGCTATCCGTCATGTTGTGAAGGAAGAAACAAAAATGTGGCAGCTTGACCACCACATCGACACCATCATAGAGCCAGTTATAGTCAATTTCAACGAGGAAAGCGATAGCGACAGTCTATTACTGTCAGATGTAAGTGGAAGCGACGATGAATAAAGGTAATTTCCAAATTTTTGACTTACAATATGTTTCAAACCACTCTTTATTAAGCATGTGACAAATCTAGTTCAACCATGTTAAACATTCATACCCCGTCTATGAACAACCGACTACTGGTAGTTAAGTGATGTTCACGTGAACATCGATGAGTCATTACAGTTTTAGATAGTTATAGTATAGTTGGGTAATGCCTCACAAAATGCTCCTGGCCCATCTGATATAACTAGAGAATTGTTTCCTACTTTGTGTGATAATGAAATCAGTGTTAATGTATCAATTGACCTTTCTTCCCTTATCGATTTTTTGAAGTTGTTTGTTAATGACGAGTTTTTTCGAGAACATGGTTCAAGAGACTAATAGATATGCTGAAAATTTGATGTTACAACAAAACAAAACCTAAATCAAGAGTAAATTTATGGAAACCAATAGATGATAATGAATTGCAAAACTTTTTTGCCATAGTCATAGCCATGGGAATTGTAAACGCTCCAATAATGAATTTGTATTGGTCCAAAGATTCCTTATATCATAATAAATTTATATCATCTTGTACGACAAGGGACCGATTTTTAATTATTTTAAGATGCTGGCATTTCATGAATAACATAGATGATACTGGCGAAGACAGACTGTCCAAAATTCGCGATTTGATTGACAGCTTGACAAAGACATTCAAATAAGCAGTGATTGTTGCAAAAAAAAGTAGTTATAGATGAGTCTATGAAACCATGGAGGGGTCGCCTAAGAATGAAACAATATATGAAAAATAAATCCCACAAATATGGTGTGAAACTTTAAAAACTTTGCAATATTGATGGTTATGTGATTAATTTCAAAATTTATTCGGGTAAAGAAGCGTCAGCCACGCAGAGTTTATAGTGGATTCATTACTTAGTGACTACTATGAATACGGCCGCATTTTATATGGCGATAATTTTTATACTTCTTATGAATTGGCAAAATATTTGTAGACCAAAAATACAAGAATTTGAGGTACCTTGAGAAAGAATCGCAAAACTGTTCCTAAAAATATTATTTCTCAAAAGCTTAAAATAGATCAAATAGCTGGAAAAGAGCCAGAGGGCACAAAATTATGAAGTGGATAGATAAGAGACCGGTTCTGATGCTCTCAACCTGTGAAAATCACGATACATCATTAGTTAATACAGGAAAAATAAGAAAAGGACAGACTGTCAAAAAACCACCGCGTGTAATCGATTACAGTAACGCAAAAAAATGTGTCGATTACAGTGACCAGATGGCATCTTACCAGAGCCACCTCCGAAAGAGTTTAAAATGGTACAAAAAAACTTCAGTTGAATTAATTTTTAATTCAGCAATCGTCAATGCTTGGGTTATGTTTAATCAACAACATCCAACTAGCAAGTACGAGTCAAGTTTGCGCAGTAACGCATATCAGGCCAACTTAGGTTTTTAGCCAACACAGTGAACGTGTTAAGGTAAGTTTTGAATATCCCTCACCACTTTAAAGGTTAAGATTATCGTCTAATTTCAAGATCTGGCATCTTTTGTTAGACTAATATAGCGGAATTCACAGAAACATCACTTTTTTTAATACAGCGAACATTTCAGAAACTTGAAGATATTTTCCAGGTCTTGGCCGTTTTAGTAATAACTATTGTTGCCACAAGCCTTTACGCTAGATAGTATCCCAGATACAGCATTTCTCATTCTCAAATGGCTACCCTGTACGTTCCATTAATAATCAACAATTACAACGATTACGCTTCTTACCCTCTCCAGATCACTTCTGCAGTCTTCGCACTCGTCCGCAAAGCCGTACTTGCTCAACCATCCTTCCAAGTAGGCGTCACCGACTTCCAGCGAAAAGTTACTTCCGTCAATACTCGTTAAATAGAAGAGCGGCCTCAGTGTGTCAGTTTCTAAGTCGCCCAATACGAATGTCGTTATCCTATCATGATTGGTCTGCAAAGACCGATGCACCTGGTCTACCAAGTACTGTTCTAAGCTCGATTCGATTGTGTCGTTATTGGTGAACAGCATCGTGTTGCTGTAAAAAAAAGTCAGCATCATTAGTACGGAAACCACGTAACTATCAGGTGAAGCGAAAATGGAGACTTAAGTGGAAAAACGGATTTTTCATGGTCACCTGGCGCCCTAGAATGAGGTCAATAAAAATCTGCTTTTTTGAACGTCAGCTTTTTTTTGACAGCTTTGTTTCTTTCAAACAAAAGAAGCTCTACTTAATCTGTAGCGGGTGTTTCAAGTTTGACCCTCACCATAAGGAACTCGGAAACGGTAGGAGATACGAAGTCGCTCAAATGGAAGCAAAGGTGCGTATTTAGGTAGATAACGAAATGCCGCTTAAATTGTTTCGGAATTCAAAGTACTTCCGGAAAGAGACAGAAAAATCAGAATTTTCCAAAAATAGATTTAATTTTTTCCTGACCTTATTTGTATTGGGATTTTGAAACGAATTGCACATTACATTGTCACTTATCCTCCTCTATAAGATGGCCTAATCGGAATTTCAATTTGACATTTCGTCCCTTGTCGTCCATCATCAACTTAATTTTTTCCTTATGGTTGCCTCATCGGATTTTTGCACAGATGAATAAAGGTAACAATGCATAATATGTCATACATTGAAAATGAAAAACCTTAGTTATTTTAAAAATCAAAGGAAACAGAATTTAGGTAGGCCCTGAAATTATCAGACAGTCATTTCAGATTTATCGCAAAATCTTTTTTATTCTTTCCTGACTTGTCACTTTTTTTCCTTTACAAAAGACAAAGGAAATTTTCAGTTCTAGGTTTCTTCTTTCGACTCCCATCACCCTGTTTTTCCATATTGACACTATAACTTTTTCAAAGCTGAGTCATTTATGTATTATGTAAGACTCGTCAAAAGGAGTGGATATACCAAAAATCACCTATATAAAAGAAGCTCCAAAATAAGAGTGTTATTACACAGATTTATTAACCCTTGCCGTGTCTTAGCGTTTTTTTTAATTATGAAGACTTACCTACTTTCAAAATGACTACATTCTATTAATTACTGAAAGAACTTCATTTTGTGTATAGAAAAAAGGACAGAAATAGTATTTTGATGGACTGCCAAGAGATTATTTTATGGTGAAGAAATTATTTAAAATCAATAAAGAAATACCGCGACCAGGGCAGGGAGATTTTTTTAGATTGATGAAACCTGGATAAATGCAGGACAAATTCTAAAGTATGGGCTGACTCCACAATTAAATCAGCAAGACAAGCCTATTTAGATGGACTCTACTTGTATTATTATTAGTTTTCTTGAGTACTATATGAAATAATTATTTCCAGGAAAACGAAAACGATTTGTTATCTGTCATATTGGCAGTGAAGATGGCTTTGTGCCCACTGCCCTATTGGCAATGGAGTCAAAGAAAACGACCGACTACCATATAGAAACGCTCCCAAAGCTGAACAACAATGCCGACATTGTACTTGATAATACTGCATACCACACTCGAAAACTAGAAAAAATTCCCACAATGTCCACAAGAAAGGCCGAAGTTCAACAATGCCTCCTGCCATATACAGGGTGATTCCGAAGTTGAGTCATTTATTTTAACAGTGAGTAGATCTGATCAAAAGAAATGTTATTTTCCTTTACCATTTTTCTGGTAAAATTAAAGTAACAAAGTTATAGCCCTTTGGAAGTTTGAGTACCGCCCTGTCTCAATAATAATATTATGTGCTCGTGTTTAGCAACAACGGATATAATCCGCCTTATCGGTTCATCGCATCGGAAACAAAAAAGCGAAAGAATTTGGAACGATGTTTTTACAATTACTTTATTCAGTTGTATACAGTCAGTGTCAGTCGGTAACGCGTGAGTGAATAGTGGTGTCTGTTGCGTGGCTCAAACGAAATCAAAAATGGCACATGCTTACGAAAATGCTGAACTTGTGGATATGATTCTTATTTACGCGGCATCACGGATTTATGCGGATCGGTTTCCCAATCGAGTGCAACCAACCCCTCGTGCCTTTGTTATGTAGTACAAAGGGCTCGTGAATCAGGCGACTTAAGACTTCACGGGGGAGGGAATGCCGGTGCTCCAAGACCGCACTATCAAATACAGGTCCGCACTGAAATACTTGTCGGGAGGATACTTTATAAAACAAGGTATCATTTTTTTTTAATTTTTTTTTTATTTTTACACACATATTTTGGTTTATCATCCTTCTACAATCATTATATATATATATATACAGGGTGACTTTGAAGTTGAGTCATTAATTTTCAGATAATGATTGTAGAAGGAAGATAAACCAAAATATGTGTGTAAAAATAAAAAAAAAATGTTACCTTGTTTTATAAAGTATCCTCCCGACAAGTATTTCAGTGCGGACCTGTATTTGATCGTGAGGTCTTGGAGCACCGGCATGTCGTCCATATGTGAGGTCTTAAGTCAAATGATTCACGAACCCGTTGAACTACATTAACAAAGGCACGAGGGGTTGGTTGCACTCGATTGGGAAACCGATCCGCATAAACATGTGCCATTTTTTATTTCGTTTGAGCCACGCAACAGACACCACTATCCACTACCGACTGACACTGACTGTATACAACTTAATGAAATAATTGTAAAAACATCGTTCCAAATTCTTTCGCTTTTTTGTTTCCGATGCGATGAACCGATAAGGCGAATAATATCCGTTGTCGCCAAACACGAGCACATAATATTATTATTGAGACAGGGCGGTACTCAAAGGGCTATAACTTTGTTACTTTAATTTTACCAGAAAAATGGTAAAGGAAAAAAACATTTTTTTTGATCAGATCTACTCACTGTTAAAATAAATGACTCAACTACGAAGTCACCCTGTATATATAATCTTAATGTTATCGACGAAATGGTCAAAAACCAAAATGTAAATCCCATTGAAATGATTTGGGCAAATATAAAAAACCATGTGGCTTCAAACAATAGAAGATTTAAATTTCAGGACGTAAAAAATTTGTTTTATGAAGCTGCCGACAGAGTGACGGCAAACCATTGGAAGGATTGCATCCAAAGATGTGGGATCTGGGCAGTATGATCGATATTCAAATTGAACCTGTAATAATTAATATTAACCATTCGGACGATGATTCAAGTAATTCCAGCGAATAATGAATTGTGAAAAGTATGTGCACTTCTTTCTATAAAAATAATCATTTATTCTGTTAGATTATTCCAAGACCATTGAGGAAAGTACGGACCTGTACAATCTCGCTTTTGGGCATGTTGTCTAGGCGTAAATAGACTACGAATGGGGTATAGAAGATGTTCCTCTAAATGTAAGACATAATACGTGGTACCTACATGATGGGGCTCCAGCACATTTTAGTCGAGAAGTTCATGAACATCTAAATAATGAGTTTCCGAATAGATGGATAGAGCGCAATGAACTCATTTCTTGTCCTGTTCGCTTTGCGGATTTAACGCCTTGCGATTCCTTTTTGTGGGGGTATTTGAAAGAGTTGGTGTATCATGATGGAGCAGTAAATACTCTGGAATAAATTCAACGGCGCACTGAAAATGCTTGTGATTTAATTCGTAAGAAGCTTGTAAATAGCCGTGGATTCGTCGAACAAGATTTTGCGTTAATCGAGCAAATTAGGACAATTTTGAACAGAACTTGATAATGATCTTTTTTAAATAATTTTTAATAATTAAAACTAAATCTCTTATTGTGCAACTTTTATATAGGTGATTTTTGGTATATTAACTTCTTTTGACGAGTTCTACAAGCTGTTAAAATGGGCCAATTTCACCAACAACAGTCCGTTATTCTCAAGCTATAGGGTAACAGACCGTCAGATATAGCGACTTAACTTTGAAAACACATGTATTGGAATTTTGTACACTTAAATGGAGCAGCCCTAAACTTAGTGATGCACTTGTTTCGTTGGCCTTGAATTTGTTGTTGGAACGAAAATTATCAGAAGGCAAAAAAGTATGGTGAAACCTGAACACAAAATGAAAACCTTGTTTATGGTAATAACAATAATAATCTTAAATAACCAGATGTCAATCCTAGCAGATGTTCAAATTGTTCACCGTTATTTTGTAGGCAAAGCCTGACTTTTCTCGGCACATTGTTCACTGCTGGATTTATTTCCAATCTTCTAAGTCTTCCAAACTCTGTTACTATGTTCAATATGAGATCTTCTCTGGTATACGAAATGACTCGGTTAATTTCGGGGAAGTTTTATTCTTCCGAAATAACTAAAGTTTGGCAATATCAACGCACCATATACCATACATTTTTGGAATCAGAATAAAAAATGTATATAAATACATCTGTGCAAAAATAAGTTTGATGCTGGAGAACAACAGACGAAATATCACATTGAAATTCTATGGCTATGTTGGTTAGTAGGCAATTTATTGTAAAACTTGAGTACAAATAAAATCAGGAAAAAAACCTTTCTTTCTCTCTTTCTACGGAAGTACTATGAATCTCGAAACTTTTTAAGCGGCATTTTGTTAGTTACCAAAATACCTCCTACCATTTTCCAGATCCCAAAACTTGAAACACCCGATATACAGTGTCTTATTTAACGACATACTAAAAATTTAACAGACTATTCTTTGAGTAGTTTTAAGTTATTTAAGTTATTTTTTTACCAATACGGTTCAATTTATTAACAGTGAAATGGCAGATATGCATTTCTGTTATGGAATGGCACTAATGCTGCAAGACTTATTTATCGTGAAAGATTTCCTCAACATATAGTGCCTAGTAGAAAAACTTTTGTATGTCTCTATGCACGATTTTCTGAAACAGGCAGCTTTAAAAAATCGTTGTTTGTCATCGGGAGGCCTGCAATGGTACGAACAGTTCAAACTGAAGAAGCTGACTTAAATGAAAACGAAGTAAATCCTCATACCAGGACTCGGAAAATAGCTGAGGAACTAAATATTACCCATGTCACAGAGTGTCAGACTTTAACACGTTGACTGCCATGGTAATTTTAAGAAGATCCAGAAACAATAAAATAATATTTTATTTC